CCAATCAATATGGTTTCATACCTGGCTCCTGTACTACCCTATTGGCCCTAATATCCTTAATTCATCGTTGGACAGAAACTGTTGGTGCGAGGGGCGGATCCGTACGAGCGCTGCTTACGGATTAGCGGAAGGCATTTGATTTAATAGATCATAACATTCTTTGCCATAAACTGAAGCAAATTGGTATTAAACCATCGGTGTTTAATTGGATAGTAGATTTCCTGCACAATCAGAAAGGGTATATAGCTCCACTCGGACTGTTTTTCCGATTGGAAACTTATAAATGCTGGAATTCCTCAGGGAACCAAATTGGGGGCATGGCTATTTCTCCTTATGATCAACGATCTTTCAATCCAATCTGATTCATTTGATAATGTTGAAGGTGATATGTTAAAATACGCAGACGACACCAATGTTTCTGAATATAATTTTAATTTTAATTTATTTTTTTTTTAATTTTTTTAATTTTTTTAATTTAACAAATTTATTTGGATCAATATATACATATATATATATATATATATATATATATATATATATATATATATATATATATATATATATATATATATATATATATATATATATAATATATATAACAAACAGAACGGCTACGTTTGAAGAAGTTTATTAAAAATGTTATATTAGATACAAAAACTAAATTTTCGACTGCATGCCACAGACTCCGAAGAAGGCTGTGGCATGCAGTCGAAAATTTAGTTTTTGTATCTAATATAACTTTTTTTAATAAACTTCTTCAAACGTAGCCGTTCTGTTTGTTATATATATGAAGTCTTGTCGGCTGAGCAGAGTACTGGCATTTGTCACACACACATATATATATCAATCAATCAATCAATCAATCAATCAATCTGTTTAATTAAAACCAATTTGCAGTTTTTAAAGGAAAACTGAATTACATGGAGTACTAATATAGCATAAAAATTTATATTAAAATGTACATATATATATATTATATAAAATAATTTTTATTTAGTTAGGACTGTTAATTAACTATAAAGCTAATAATATTTCCTAGTCACGAAGTTTTTTAACCGTTCAGTGGTTTCTGACCATAAAGGTTGTTCGGCCGTTCTGTCATTCCTTAAGTCATAATCATGAGTTTTTACCCCGGGACGAATTTCCATAATTTGGGTCAAAGGGTTGTAGGGTGAAACATCACGTCGCAGAGATTCGACGAATTTCTTGCAAGAGATGTCTCTACGAGTACTCAGATACTGTAAGTTTGAAATTTCAAGGGCTTCATCATATAACAGATCTGGATAAGCTATACTCAATGCTCTCTTTTGAACAGATTCGAGAATGTCAGATAATGATTTAGGTATTGACGACCATACAGGGGATGCATATTCAATTCTGGATCTGATGAATGAGATATATATTTGGACAATGTGAGATGCTTGAAGACCAGCCTTTTTTAACAGACGCAATGCGTATAAGCGAGAATTTGCCTTTTTCAATACCATGTCGACATGAGTATTCCATGACAAGTCGTTTGATATCCATACACCTAGGAGCTTGAAAGAGGACACAGTTTCCACCGGTTTACCTGCAACATAGATCGGGTTTTCATCATCAGATCCTTTATATTTAAGAAAGTTGATCAACATTTGTTTGCATTTCTTATAATTTAGTTCCATTCCACGTTCTAAGGCGTAGTCCGAGATTTCATTTACGACTAATGGCATTAAACTGGATGAAAAACGTGGTATAATCTCTAGGGCTGAGGTGTCGTCCACAAACTTGATCCTACTGGGCCAGTTTTTGAGTAAGGAATTAATGAGAACAGCAAACAATAATGGACCCAACTTTGTACCTTGTGGTAAGCCACCATTTGTTTTCTTCCAAGAGGACATAGAAGTTCCCACCCGGACACATTGTTCGCGATCGCAGAGGAAGGCTTTAATCCACCGAATTATAGAGGGAGGGGTACCAAGCAGGGTTAATTCTTTAATAATAACATTGTGGTCTACTAGGTCAAAACCTTTCTTGAAATCTTCAAAGAACAATCTGGCAGTACAGGAACCTCTCTCAAGAGCAACCAAGATTGAATGTAAAAGGTAGACCAAAGCGTGGGTCGTTGATTTCTTTGGGAGTGCAAATTGTTTGGTGTCAAGTTTATTTACAACTTCAGGAAAAAAAATTGTCCAAAGTACAATCCTCCATAACTTTGGCGATCTGAGATGTTAAAGATATTGGTCGTAGGTCGTCTTCAATACTCTTTGGGGGTGATACCTTAGGGACAGGCACTACAATAGATCTCTTCAATGCCTTTGGGGAGGTGCCTTGTGTCATGGATGAGTTGAAAATGTCTGAGATAACTGGGGCAA